CAAACTGAACAATGAATATAAAATTGATTTTATATATTACATTAATTTATCAATTTGCTAGACTTGATTTCTTATCTACTAAATCGTTAAAATTGTCTATGAATATTGACATTTTTTCATTCGAGCAAGAGAATAAATAGATGAACTTGTATCTAGAAAAGAGAAAAAAAATCACTAACATAGGCAGAATGAATAGTTATAAGAGGTTTTTTTATAAGATATTTTGATTCGATTTGTTATCCGATAGGAAACTGAGTTTTCAACAAAAAATTGCTCTAGAAAAAGTGTCATGGGATAAATTCTATGTACGATCTAATCTGAAGTCTGCTCGAGAAAAGGGAAAAATAAAAGTTGTTCTCTTATTTGTATCTGCTGTAAACAGACGTCAACGAAATACAAAAGAAAATGTGCACAAACAAAAGAAACTTATGATACAAGACAAATACAAAATTACGTAAATGAAAAAAGAAGTTTTTTCATATAACACACAACGCAACAATGTCTGACAAGATTATTCCATCTCTTCAAACTAGTGATGGGCCGTAACATCTTCGTCTATCGTAAATGACATATATGTTTAAAGCGAACGAAAGAAAGGAAGAAAAGAAAAGCATGACGTTATGACGTTGGCTGTTTTCTGTTCTGGCGACTATACGTAAATTGATATATATGTCCTTTCGCTCTGACGTGAACTATTTTACTCTTCCTTCGCGTAAGACGTTATAACGTAATGTTACGTTATAATTTCTTAAAGTAAACGACTATAAGTGAAGTGTGAATTTATAACGTCTAACGCGGAAATAACGTAATAATCACTTTTAACGTAAGAAATGAAGAATTTCCTTTTTTGTCGCTCAATAGCTCAATTGATACGTCAAAAAAGAAATTGAACAAAAATTTCAGAATTTACATGAAACTTGAAACTATGAAGAACAGTATCTTCAAATTTTTGTTGTCAAATATTTTTTAAATTATGACAAATATATTTCATGATGCTTAGTAATTTCCTATTAAGTTATATTATTTCACAGTAACACGAAATATTTAATTTGAAAGTCGTCTACAAAGTTAAGATTAAAGTTTTTAAGAATTACTTTTTACTGGCACAGAGTAAATGATTGGATTCCACACTTTACCTGAAGACATGGATCCCTAACATAAAGAATCGTTCAGTTCTAATGCAATCTTTTTTAAGAAGAAAAAACAAAGTCAGGAATATGAACACTTTGAAAAATAGCTGGTTGTAATACCTCGACTATGTAATTATGATCCCGTTAGTTCTGCATGATAGTACCTATTGATGAGTTTGGCTCCACTCAAAAAAACTGTTGAAAATGTATTACTTCTTAAGCACTTAACCGAAGTCTTAACAAAAATACAACTAAAATATAGAAGAAACCTTTATATTCTTTATTATTAAGAGGTACAATATGAGAAAAATATTATTCCAAGAATAGAAAATCATTGATTAATCTAGTTTTATGTTAGGTAGCAAACTCCGAATAAAATATAGTGTGCTATGCTATAATCGTTTCTTTCGTATTGTTCTCATTTTCGTTATATATCATAACGCGTAACGAACGCAAGACGTTCATTACGCCGCTTAGTATATGACTTCTCTTTCGTTCTGTCGCTTTTCCTTACGACTGTTCGTTTACATTACAACTTCTTTTTTCTGTTCTGTTACGACTTACGACGATATGATAATGAACGTATAACGCTTATTACGTCTGACGGCCCATCACTACTTCAAACATTGTCGGTAGATCTTGTCTACCAAATTATTGATCATTTTGATGATTTGAGTGTTTTATTTTCAATACGAAACGTATGCACACATATCAATACAATCGTTGATACTATGATTTCAAACAGTTAGATTGAATATAAAAGATCATAATATTATTTTGTTGCAGATCACTTTTTTTTCGTTCAAATAAATTGATGTGATTCAGCGAAATAACACCGTTATCAGTCTCGTGTTCCTCTAGAATGCTAAACAGAGATTAAGTGATTTTTTTTCTAGTAAAGTGGTAATACATCTACTTGGGTTCCAGTCTCTTGAAACGATCACCTATTTTTTAGTAATGTCATCATAACATCTTTGTGTTACGTTATTTTCTAATAGATTCAACTCCAGCATTTGTGGTTCATTATGTTTTTATAACATTATTGTTTATTATCGATACAAAAAGAATAATCAGCCATGACTAGTTTCGACTTTATCCAAGGGTCTCATCAGATGGCATTATTCAAATTTATCATCATCATCATAAGATGACGATGAAACTGCAATCAACCTCTATAAAATAGAAGAGATACAATGTTAAAATGTATGACTACATTAAGAATAAGCAGCTATCTGATGAGACCCTTAAGCAAGATTGAAACCAATCATGGCTGCTTGCTTATTCTTGTGATGATAGAACAGCGATGACTGCACATATGATAGGGATGTTTCACATCCTCAAGTTTTCGAAAGTATGAAAGTCTTTGAAACACTCGGATAGACATAATTCAACGTTACACTTTATATGAGACAACAAGAGAACCTGTCTAGTTAGCTAGATAAATACAATCGCTAACAAACGAGTATCATATATCATACTTCCGTAGCTAAAAATTTAATTCATTGTTCAATAATTGTAGGTTTAGAAATTCAGGCCTAACATGACACTTTCATACTAGGAAAGCGGCCTGTCCACGTAATAGTAGACTCTGGTGGGTGAATTTGACTTACTCGATTTGCCAAAACCATTATGACCATCTTGTAGAACGAGGATGATAACGCACAGAAATGCATTTCTTTTTTTACATACTTATGTTATATTTTAGAAGAAAAATGCTAGAAAAATAACGTGCTTCACACGTAATAAAAATTCATATTTTCCAAAGATTCTTATTTTTGAGTTTTTCACATATATAAATCTGCCATTTTGGAAACTATTCACACCAATTAACGTTGCTTCAAATACTCTATACAATGATGTTATGGAATCTATCTTTCGACATTTCTTTAAAAAAATTATTTACATATGTAAACATAATACATTGATGAAGGTGATTCCGTCACGAAAATAAGCTATAATTCATTTCTAGCCAAGAGTAACTGGTTTTTTTATTCCGAAAAGTAGTGCTCTAAATACAGTTTTTTATGCTCTATCTAACCAACGTATTGAATGGTTTTTAAAAGCATTATGGCTGGCGAAGAGGGCCGTGACGGAATCACCCATAAATGATTATGTTTTAATCTGAAAATATTAAAACATCGTTTTTATTCTAGTTTCTTAGTTTAAACCGATGTTTGACTCCAGAAACATGGTTTTTGAGCCATGTCACTTGATTGGAGAGTATATTTACGATGATTTCAGCTGGCAATAGAGACTAGTGGAACGGCGTACTATCTTGTTCACAAGGATTAGTAATATCACGACCTGTCTACGTAACTGTCCACCTCTGTAAGCAAAGTTGAACTACAAAAATAAACAAAACGAATGTACCTATGTTGTAGAGCATGATCGATAGCTTAGAAAAATGTAGTTTTTATCTAAATAGCTTCGTATATTTTAAAGAAAAAATGCTGTTACATAAATATCACTCTGACTCGGTGAAAATGAACATATATTATGAGTCTAATTTTGTGATTTTTCATATAGACAAATATACTTTTTTTTCAAAACCGATCGTATGTTCTAAAACAGCCTTGATTAGGTTCTTTAGCTATAGCAAGAGATCTAAGTTCTGTCACTCTCAAAGCAACTTATTTGTATTTGAAAACTAGTCAATCTATGATAGTTATTCCGTCATGAAAATACTCTGTAACTCATTTTTAGCCAAAAGCAAGATAGTTTTGATTCTATGAATGTCCTAATGCTAATTTTTTACGCTCTATTCAAAGGACTAATTATAGCTTTTAATGAGAATTTCTGTTTAGTTAGAAAAGGCGTGGCGGAATCACCATTGGATCCACTAAATGTGAGTTTTTCAAAAAAATAAAAATATTGTTTTTCTCTGGTATTGTATTGAAGATGTATTCTTAAATAGACAAAAAGATATTAAAACGTCACTAATCAATTCTGAAGTTGGTTTATAATGATTCTGAGCTATTTTTTCCTTATTGAAGTTGAAGGTACCAGTTTAGTCGTAATATCTAGTATATGTCTCATACTCTTATAATCGAATTTTTACGTTATCCAAAACATGATGTAAAATGCTTTTTCTCGATTGGTTTTTCATGAGTAATTCTAGTTGGTTTATGTTCAGAAATTTTAGTTAAATTTCTAAAGAAATAGACGTTGAAAAAACATCATCATTTTAAAAACGTGATTCCGTCACGAAAATGTGATTCCGTCACGACGATTTTTTCTGTCTAAAAAATTAGTATTACGGTTTTTCCGGATTTTCTTTTTTTGTACGCATAGCTCGTTATCTAGGCTATAACTTTTGTAGCGAAAGTATTTTCATTATATATATAGTTGAGCTAAGTTTTTTAATTCTTTGAGCAACACTCAAAATACAGTTCCATTTTTGATGATTCCGTCACGTACCTATATTTCTATCACAAAACAAGCACAGAATTTTGAAATCTCGTAAAACTTTCAGCATGTGTAGAGCAAATCGACTTACATAATATGCAAATATTTCAGCCTCATTCTCACTTCATCTGCTTGAGATATTGAATAGACAAGGGGAAAAAACGTGATTCCGTCACGCTTGGACAGGCCGAAAGGTATATGTTCACCCTCTAAAATGATCAACATTTCAACTTTTAGAAGAATATCTAGATAGAAACTCCATAATCTTTGAGCATTTCAAAGCTAACCATGTACAATCAACTTGTTCAAACAATAAATATCTGTGATAATCAATAGACGTGTTTCATAAGCGTTTTACTTTTAATTACAAATGATTTTACTTTTAACATTAACAACATAATTATAGGTCAATGAATGAGTCTAAATTCGTGATGTATCAATATATGTTATTTGTTATTATTGCCATTATGAAATCCATATATGAATAAGATTGATAGTGTCTGCATTTCTAACAACTAAACTTGTTGATGGTAAATGATGTTTTAACCAGTGAAGTAGATCATCATTATTTGATCTATATAAATCATGAATGGTTTTTTTTGATAATAAAACTTTTGAATATATATCATCATCAAATTGAATAGTTAATGCTCGAAGATTGATCATATTTTTCATAAGAATAAGAATATTTTCACGAGTTTTGACTTTAATAAAAAGTACTTCACATGAAACACCTAATGATGATTGAGTCATTGTTATACATTCTTCTTCATCGAACCAATGATTTTGTAAATAAAGTTGACGAATTGATGTATTTATACATGTCAAAAATGATATTTGTAAAGGTAATGATTCATGTTGTTTGATTTCTAAACAGCAAAGATTTGATGCTCGATCAAGTAAACGTTGTAATTGTAATTGAAAAGTATCTGTATAGAATGAGATCGAAAGTAAATATAACTGATTTAAACTTGGAACAATAGTCCAAAATTGTTCTTTGATAGGTAGTTTGATCCAAAGAAATTCAATGTTCGGTAAACGAACATTAGATGGAAATGATTGATCAAAAAATGTCTCATTATAGATATGAGTCATGTTCTTGTAAATATTCAAATAATTATCATTTGGATATGTTGATTTCCATAAGTAAGGATGACCATCATCGGCATAATGAACTGAATTTCCGATATAAATCAATCCATCGAATATAAAACATCGAACAAACCATTGATGTTCATCAATCCAAAATGAACTTCGAAATGAATTCATTAATTCATTAGCTTGTTCTTCTATATTATGATTGTTAGCAGTTACGTCGCACATATTCAAAAGGAATGTTTTAAGTTTAGGTAAATAATTCTTAATGATTTGTTCCCATTGATAACCATTTATAAAATGATATGATAAATGGATTTTCAAACAACGTAAATTAGGTATGTTTTGTAACAAGTACATCATTTTCGAAATGTTTGACATACGAAAACCAGAAATGTTTAAATAGATTAATGTCGGAATAGGACATGGTTGATAATCAGTATTGTCGACTTCATCCATCGAAATACGAAGACATTTTAGATGAGGTGTACATTCAAATAATCGATATAATTCATTCCATTTAAATCTTTGTCTATAAATGAATACTTTTCTTAAAGATGTTGATACTTGAGTAAGTAGAAAAGGAGTTTCTTGTTTATAAACACGAATATCGAAATAGCAAAAAGCAAGTTTTGGTAAATTCCAAATATTATTAACAATCATTTGTATATCAATTTTATCATGTCGAAAAGAACAACTTTTCAACTCTAAATAAGTGAGACTAGAAAGATGATAAAATTCATGAACGATTTTAATTAATGTTTCATACGAATGAAGTTGATAGAATATTAAACATTGTAAATGAGTCAAATAAGACATTGATGATACATAAGAAAAGAAATGATTGATTTGTCCAGGTGTTTCATCGCTATCAGAAAGTCTAAGAAAAATAAATCGATCAATAATAAATGGTAGATGGGGTGTGGGTGTGGGTGTGGGTGTGGGTGGTTGTGGGTGTGGGTGTGGGTGGGTGTGGGTGTGGGTGTGGGTGTGGTTGTGTGATTCAACATCCCGATGATGGTCTCTCAACGGCCGAAAATTCAACATTTATTTATTTATTATTATAAAACATTTATTTATTATTATAAATAAAAAATTTAAACATTGATATATTCCACAATTGAATATTACATTTTCTATAATCGTACATTTATCGTAGCTTTGACTTGTAATTGTCGTTATAACCATTGAAACATAAAAATAAATGTAATAAATCAATAGTGGATTTATATGATTCCTCATGTTGCTCTTCATTTAACTATAACTATTATCTTTCCACATTTAATTGTAGTGCGCTCGCGTATGTAAAAATTAATGTATCTTTGTTCATCGTAACGACAGTACATGGAGAGAAAAGCCAAAAAAAAGGAGAATATTGAAAGAACGAAATAGATGCAATAATGAGCACAGTGATGAAAAAACACTACCTACTTGATGAAAATGTCATGCTTCGTTGATTCACGTAAATATGTTTAAGTAGGAAAAAAAAGTAATTTCGTCAACGATAAATACGAAGCAATATTGATTACAAACATACAAAACAAACTCGCACACTCCAATATTACTCAACAAGTAAGTACGTTTAATTTCTAACATTATTAGACTAGTGATCAAATTCAAGCTGAAAGTCCAGAGTAACTACTAGCGAGAAAACATGGCGGGATATAGGAATGAGGTATTTTAATTGCCAGAAATCGTTTTCAAGAAAGTTCGATTGAAGATACTGAGCATATGCGATTGATAATGTTGACTACCACGGCTCTTCCACGTAAAATAGGTTAACCACAATTCATGTCAAACAGAATGTCCTTTGAAATGCCTAGACTCTACTGAGAATTGTAGTGGTACACAACACGAATCTCATTTTAAGTGGCTAACATAGCAAGGGTGTGGGTGTGGGGTGAGGGCGGGTATATTGGTGAACGTGTGGATGTGGGTATTATTATCTTCCTCACAGCTACCCTCGCTCCACCCCCATGCTAGAGCCCATCGGGTCCGGGTCTGAAAATTATATTTGACCGGGTCTGGGTCTGAAATTTTTTGCTCATTGGGACCGAATCAAAAAAACTTTTGATGCATACAATGAAATTTTACGAATTTCTTTAAATTTTCGATCGTTTGATTTAAAGAAGTTTAATTTGTTTATTAAAAAAAATATGAGATTTTTGGGCTTATAAAATGTGATTGACTTGTCATAATTTTCTACTAAGTGGACAAGTTTTTTCTTCTTTACAAAAAAATTCATCGTATATTATTTTCTCATGTGTATATGACTCGGTACAAAGCAAAGTATTATTGATAATGGAATGGCTGTCGAATAGAAGAAATAGTATAAAGCCTTTGTAATGCATACATTTATTCTTTTATTAGGAACTATTGAATAGGAGTAAGAACTAATTGTAACTTAGTTATTATGAGGTCACTATCAGATCGTTTAAAGAATATGTAAAGTATGCATAGGGTGTCATTTTCCTGTCAATTTAGAATAAATATAAATTATCGGTAATTTATATTTAAAACTAACATAAGTATTTTATTTTTCATGATTTATATTTAAAAATAAATATAGATAATCATTATTTATATTTAAAATAGATATAATATATGATCATTTATGTTTATTTTTGAATATAAATTATCAAAGAAAATTTATTTATATTTAGCAATAAATATAAATTATGAAAACAACATTTTTATATTTATTTTAAATATAAATCACTGATAATTTAATTTACACATGAATTAAGTTAAAAGTAACTATGAATTGAGAGCCCTACGTATACTAGTCATGTAATAGAAAAAAAAATGAAAAGTATACTGTATCTTCGAAGCGACAGTCAAAATCAGATTAGAAAATTTTCTGAAGAGGAGTAAAGGTATGATTCAAGTCCAGACTCACAAAAAAATGATCAATCAAGTCCGAGTCTGAGAATCTTGATCGACGGAATCCGGGTCCAGAAAAATTAAATTTACCGGGCCTGGGTCGGGTCCAGGTCCAGAAATTCTTGCACCCGATGGACTCTCCCCCACACCATCCTTAATCAATCCCACCCCCAGGGCTCGCGCGAGGGTCCCAGGATTGGGGGTGTGGGGGTCCAAGACAGCCAAGATCGAGGAACACAAAATTTTTTTCACCTCAAATCTAATGTTAACCTTTCTCTATTGACCTAAAATGTAACAATTTTTCGCGAAGCGACAACTTTTTGCAATCTTCTTTAAAAATTCGACTTTTTTTGGCAAATTTTTAAGAAGAGAACTCGAGTCTAATGTGAGAAAATTTCTCAATATCGTCGTTATGGCAAGCGACCAATCTGGCGAAAATTGTTCTATATCAAGCTGTTTCAAAGGAAAAATTGACTAAGGTAGGAAGTTTGTCTAAGTTAACTGCGATTAGACAATTGTTATCGCGGAGCGAAAACTTTTTTCGGATTCATGAAAAACTCGTTTTGTTCCTTATGCGGTTCGAAAGGAAAAAGTGTTGCGAGAGCTCTTAGCGCTTTCGTCGCCGAGGACGGTCATGCTAGTGACGGCTGTCGGAAAATGAAGCTCTTCAAAAATAAGAGCAGAGTAAGATTGCTTTAAAACAGAAAAATCACTGATATTTTTAGGCCGAGTACGCTCGCGTAGTAATGCTATCACGAAGCGAACAGTTTAAATTTCTCTTCAAAATTTTCTAGCAAAAAATTCAACAAAAATTTATCGATTTTTTTGGCTATGGATGAATAATTTTTAATTATTGGGGGGTGTACACTTCACACTTTCGCGGGGCCTACCCATCCCACAGCCACA